CCTCAGATTTCCAAACGCACTTTGTGATATATGTGTTCAGGCGCAGCCCTGCCTCTGTACGGTGCTGCTGCTCTGCACTGTGGTAGGATGGGAGGGACAAACTCAGTCCTGGGTGCGTCCCACTCCCAGTGTATTCCCTGTCAAGTCAAACCACGGGAACAAAATGACCAGTTTGGAAATGCACCTGCAGCGTTGTCCATAAGTGCATCCCTTGAAGCTAAAGGACATGATGGCTCACCTGTGAGAATCGGGTTTTAGCTAAGAGCCCAGTGTGAGCCTGAGAAGTTTTCTTATCCAAAAACTTCATGTGACGTGCACGTTTTATCATTTACAGATAGTTATACTAACATGGAAGTCTTACACTACCTTAAGTTTGGGCTCCCTGAACTGCTTGACTTGTGCATAGTTCTATGTATCGGAAGCCTGATTAGAGAAGTACTGTTTGCCTCCTTTGACGAGAACAGAAAGGAACTCCAAGGAGAGTGTTCTGCAAGTGCAAGCTCTGAGCAAAGGAGAGTTTTGAAAGCAAATAATACTGTGTGGAAATCACACATTGGGAAAAAGCTGCATGACTTGAAATTTTTCCAACACCAGAGTAAATTTATCTTTTAATGGCATTTTCCATGAACTTTTGGAAGTACCCTCGTGTGTTCAGTTTGTGGAGAAGGCAGTAGTCCTGGAGAATTGTGGTTCGGTGCTGTGAGAGAGGTCCCAGTTGGACAGTGGTGAGAATTTCCTTAGGTGTGAGGAACACACACTCAGCCTGCACCCTTCCTGCCCCTTACCTGGGAGCACAGCCTGCCCTGCATGGTTTTCAGTTCTCCGTTAGGGAGAGGACTAAAGGTTTAAGAAAATAGGGGCTGCTGTTGTGGTTAAGCCACCACTTGTGATGCCTTCTTGCAAAATAGGCATCCTATATTGGAGTGGGAGTCCTGGCTGAACCTCTTCCGGTCCAGCAGCCTACTAATGCACCCGGGAAAGTAGCCTGATTGCCCAAGTACTTTGGGCCCCTGCCAGCCACATGAGAGACCTGGATGGGGTCTGTTACTCCTGGCTGTGGCCTGATTAGCCCCAGTCATAGCAGCCATTTGGGGAGTGAAATAGCAAGCAAAAGATCTCTTCCTCCACCCTCTTCTGTCAGTCTGCCTATGAAATAAGTACTTCACACACACACACACACACACACACACCACGTGAACAGTTTGTCCCCAGACTCCTGGAGAAATTGAAGCTTCTGATCTAGAATAAGATTGAAAGCCGATTCTGGAGGAACTATTTTTTTTGTCTACAACTTATTTATCTGAGAGGTAGAGTTACAGAGAGAGGGAGAGAGAGAGAAAAGTCTTCCATCCTCTGGTTCACTCCCCAGATGTCCGCAACAGCCAGAGCTGGGCTGATCCAAAGCCAGAAGCCAGGAGCTTCTTCTGGGTCTCCCACACGGGTGCAGGGGCCCAAGGACTTGGGCCATCTTCTATTGCTTTCCCAGGCCATAGCAGAGAGTTGTATCGGAAGTGGAACAGCCAGGACTTGAACCGGTGCCCACAGGGCTTTACCCACTATGCCACAGTGCCAGTCCAGAAAGCGTGTATTTAGATACTCCGTTAAATTTGGTGGTGTTTCTCCTCTATCAGAGAGTAAGCCGAGGTAGAAACAAGGCTCCTCCTCCTTTTCTCTGGGCTAACCAGGCCCGGTGGATGTGGGCCGGGTGCCAGGTGCTCAGATGTGACCAAGGCAGAAGAGAGAGCTGCTGGGCCACCGTAGAGGTGTCGCCTTCAGGGCTCAGAGTGGCCCTGGCAGAGGAAACCCTGCCTCCAGTGTGTGACTTTCTCACATAAGTCAGATGCTTTCAGGCACATTCTGCAAATTGAAAAGCCACATCTGAGACTTCAGTTTGTGGGTCTTGGCCCAGGTTTACTCCTGCTTTCTCTTCCCCGACACATGGTAGAGGCTGCGTTTCCTAGCAGCAGTTTGTTTCAAAAGGTTTTCATGTGCTGCAAGCCACCTCCAGTGGTTCTGCCCACCCGCACTTGGATGTGAACCTACACCATTACAAGTGGTAACTGTGATTCCTCTATTAAAAATAATACCTTATGTAACAATTGGCTGTAAGCACAGCAATAGGAAGGATGTAGTATTTATTTTATGTCGCACCAAGTTAGTTCGATCTTTGCCCTTAGTCATTTCCTTTTGGAATCATTGTTACATCCTGGCACCCTACAACTGTTAGCCCCATCGGGACCTAACATAGAAGTCGGCTTAAATCATTTTGAGCTTAGAAATCAATAGCAGTGGATTTTAATTATATTTCATGGTGAGTTCTAAGATCTCAGTTCTCCTGTCACTTTAGTTCCTGCCTCTCAACCGATATAACCAAACCATGAAGGAACATCCTGTCATTTTGGTTTTATTTATAAATCCCCCAAACTCTTTAAATGGCATATTGTAAACACTCTACTGACAATTTGGATAACTGTGAGATGCAGAATGACAGTGTGGTTAAGGGTACCGATGCTGAAGCCACTCCGTCCTGTGTGACCTTCTTGGGCAGTTGTTCCTTCTTGGGTCTGTTTCCTCATCTATACAGTGATGACCACAGTCATGGTGCCTGCTTCATGACATGAGGTTGGTGTAAGGATTAAATCTGTATGTGTGTATAATACACACAAACATGCATACATAGATAAAGTTTCCTAGATCAATGCCCTGGTATATGATAATTGCTACCTAAATGTTTGCTAATATTACTTTCTCTTTCAAAGGAAATGAGACCCTCCCTGGTGTACCACTGTGTCCCCTTTCATGCTGAACCACATGTCATCATCATCATCCCTCTCCAAGAAATGTTACGCACTTGCCTCCTCTGGTCTATAGTAAAACTGAAATAAAAAGAGGAAGAGAGTCAAGCCATCTTAGCCAGCTTTCCTGGAGGAGGGCTTGTCCTGGGAACTAGTCATGGTTTTTGGAGATGGGATTTGAATTTGTCTTCCCTGAAGTCAGCCAAATGGATCATTGTGTTCTATCTAGATAACTAAATGGCTCCAAGTGTTTGGTTTCATTTCTTGGTCTTTGATGACTTTTGGGTGGTCTTGCAAAAGTATCAGCAACTCCCCAAGTTGCCTATAAATAAATATTTTGATGAGAAGCTTTTCTGCTTCCATGTTTTAAACTGAATAAAAGCAAAGATCCTCTCAGTACTGACAGTACTTCAGAAAATTAAAATTGTGTTTCTAAAACATTTACTGTGGCTTCACATGGCACCAAAGCTGTAGATACATAGGTCATTGTATCTAAACAAATAATTCAAATTTTATTGTTATTCTCAGTGTAATCATCATAGTGTCCTAAGATACAAAAGAAAGCAGTTGTCACTCAAATTGTGAATAAGGAATTGTTGCTGTAGTTAATATTCCCAAGAATGTGTTATTGATATCATACAATGTGCTACTAACAGGGAGGTGATTTAGTTTGTCAACTTATTTATCCAGAGGTTAAAGGCTCCATTTAATGTTTATCTTAATTCCATTTCAAGATGCAGCATTGTCTCTTTACCATGCCTTCTACCATACCCAAACAATACTCTAAACTCAACTCTCAATTTTAAAATAATAGATTAGGGCACCTTCCCAGTCCTTTCAACACCATAAAGGGCATTTAACCCAATGAGGGCACATCCATAATCACCATTGCTTTGGGTCTGCTTTGGCTGTGAGCTCCATGTGCTGCCAGAATCTGTCTCCTAAATAATCCGGAGGACTGAGACATCTAATGGCTTTGCTGCCCAGCTTCCAGGTACACTTCACTAGTAACATAATACCCTGGTTTTCCTCTGTGGACTTAACCATGTTTCCATTCTCAAGCTGTGTACTTGCAGTTGGCATGAGCCCCACTGCCCGTTCCCAGCATGGCCTACAGTGACCTCAAGGCAGACCAGCCACCTATGGCCCACCTTCAACTCCCAGTGGTCACTGGGATTGATTCAGAGGTAGACACATTTCACCAGTCAAACTCAATCAGACTCAGATGACCTCTGGTGGGACTTCTGGGAATGAAACGTTTTCCCCCCTCTTCTGTATAAGCAACCATTGAGAACCCTTCTTTTAGAATGTGTATTAGGAAAATGGGCTGCCTGGAAGTGAAAGGCAGCAAGCCTGGCACCACTGGAGGCGTGAGTGTTTGGGTGATGCAGCCCCTGTGGAGGCTGAAGACAGCGCCGACAGCCAGCCTGAAAAGAAGGAGGGGCCAGAGTCTCGGTGAGAGCTGTGAATCCAGCTTCCTGGGGGCAGCTCTGGAGCTGTGGGTTACTGAGTCAACATGTTTCCTTTAATGATTAACCCAGTCTAGGCTGGGTTTTCTGTTGTTTCTAGCATAAATAGCCCTAACTACTGTAGGCAGAATAGCTCAGAATGGTGTTCCCAGGAGCACCCTGGTGCTTCCTGTATCATGCCCAGGAGTGAGAAAGGAGTGAGTCAAGGCCAAGCTGTCAGCCACCAAGACAGGCAGAGAGAAACCAACAGAAACCAACAGCTTCCATGGTGGCACCAATGAAAGGAAGGAAAAGCAGAACCCAGCGACACAGCCCGGGCATTGGGAGTCCTTGTCCAGACATTCCAGAGAGCACAGCCTGAGTCAGCATCGTTGTTCCTAAAGCAGGTGCTAAATGGTGACCAGGTATTCATGAATTAGAGGTTACAGGACTCTTACAATCAGTTAATAAGGTGATTATGAAAAGTCTGCTACTTAATAGAAGAAGTTAATTGTTCATAGGAACAACAATCTTCTCTATTTCAATAAAGGAGCTTATTTTCAATGACGATTGCATAGACTTACTTTGCAAAAAAAGGCATCAGTGTATATGTCTTTTTTTCAGATTATTTTATTCAATGGATGCTAAAGAATGGGAAAAGTCACTCTTTAAAAAAAAAGCACTATATTTGCTTTGATCCGTGTCTATTTCTGAGTCTCTTATTTGGTAAATAATAACATTAAACTTTAAGTCATAGTTAAATGTTTAGTCTTGACTTTAATATTAGATCTAAGAAGTCTTCCATAATTTTGTTCTTTTTCACAAGTTAGTATTCTGTCTCTGTTAATAAAAGAAAATAGAAGGAGACTTGGGGGCCGGGGCAACAATTTTATCTTATTAAGAAAAACACTCTTTGTCCATTCTGAACTTAGAAAATCTATTTTTTCTACATAATATTGAAATATTTAACAGTTTATAAAAACATAAGCATTTACATTAAATACAGCCCTGTCACTTTCGCTGGGACTCTCATAAAAGTGATGAATATACATGCATGAAAATTTAAAAAGACCATCAAACATTCATATGGAAATGCAGCATTATAAACAATAAATATCTGGGGTATCAAAGTCACAAATTTATCATTATTCTGATTGCCATGTGTTTTTCCAGTTAAAATCTTTACTATATAACTTATTATAATAACTTTATGAGTTAAACATAACTAATGTGAAAGAGAGTTCAATTAATTTGATGGCTAAAATACAATTCTCAATATTTTGCAACATATTTTAGTTTCTACATATAAAACTGTCATTTTGGCAAGAAATACACATCCATATAGTAGGTGTTCAGTTACGTTCCTTTACAAAGTTAACAAAAAGAATATAATGAAAGAATTATTTCTGAGATAATCTTACTGCTTTAGCTCTTGGGCTTTGGCAATAAATGTCTGGATTTTTAAATCTATATAACTTAAATATTGTATTTACAAAATATAATTACTTTTAGTCAAAATATTATACAAAATACTGTCATTACACATTTAAAGGGTGCTTTTCTGTACCATGAATGGGAGCCCTTTATATGCTAACCTCTGCTTTTCCCACTGTTTTCAGGATCCTTCCACTCCCCAGTATCTCAGAGCTGAGTTTTTAACAATGAAAACTGGTCTATGATAAAATATGTGTCTGAAGAGCAAAGAGTGCTGTATAACCTACACAAGTTTTTCTAGACAATTCCTCCCAGTTAAAGGCGCTTAAAATTCAAATGGCACATTTTACATTTTTATTCTTTCAGTTTGTCATTAAACACCTCTAACAGATACTTTTTAGGGATATTGTGTCATTTTGGAAGATGCTTTCAAAATGCATAGCTGAGCAAAGAAGCACCCTGCTTACATTAACTCTCCAACATCTTCTGTCTATCTATACACAAACAAGTATGAGTTATTCAATTAAAATACTGACAGAATAAATGATATTCATGTTTTTGCTCCTGGCTGCTAGAAGAGGTGTCTTTGTAAAATGACGAATGTATAATCATCATTCTTGAGTTCCATAACTGAATTCCACAGTTGAGGATCTTGTCCTGAAAATGGACCAGGTCTCCTTCCTTATCTATCAGGGCTCTTCCTTACATATCAGTGCATATCCCCAGCCCATCAAAAGATGGACACAAATCTTTTCAACTTGAGAATCCCAAGAAATTCACACGAACGATGTGTGATTGGATGTGGACCAGCCAAGAATAAGGGAATTCCAATGCACAAGCCAACTTCAGCAGCCCTGCCCAGTACAAGGTGCACACTTGGTTGCAATCCATATACGCGGCACATCAGGAGTCCTTGCCCAGGGGTGGACGGAGGGTTACTTACACGTGTGGACATCAGTCATGCTTTCGCATCTTCTGCAGCGGACGTAGCAGCACCAGATAAACTTACACTCACACCTCTCCACGTGCCTGACCACATGGGTGTTGTATCCTCGGCCACAGCATAAGAGGTTGCAGCCGTCAGCCCCTTCCGAAGTGCGGTTGCATTCTCTGCCTTGAGTCCCTGGGATGCCCAGTTTCTTGTCCTCCACACAGTAGTTGGGAGACTTATTGACATAGAGCAGATCTTCCTTGCGAATCGGTAGTTTCCTCTGATCTTTTTCTCTCCGGTGCATTTTCTTCTTTGTTTTCTCTGATATCTGAATACTATTTTCATATTTATCCTTCAACAAATGGCCGATCTTTTCAAAGGAAGACATGGTTTTCCAGCATGTTTTAACAGCACAAGAGCCAGAAACTCCGTGGCAGCGGCAGTCTACTGACATCAACTTGGCGACAGCCTGAAACCAACAGTAACTACGTTCAAATATCACTCATCAAGACGGACACACAGCTAACCTAATCGCTTAAGTTCCTGGGTGTGTTTTCTCCAAGGTAAAAAGGATACGTATGAACATAAAGGACCTTCAAGAGTGTTTAGAGTTCAACTGCTGTCCTTTGGTTTTGTCCCAAATGTTTTCTCCAACTGTCAAGACCCTGCAGAGGAAGTTTTCCCAGGAGGCATTTAAAGTACCGTACCTAGCAAATATTGTTATCAGAGATGATCTGAGTTAACAAGAACGACTTTTATTTCTGACTCCACATTTAATTTTGGGTGTGAGAGGATGCTCATGGATGCCTGTATCTTCCTGAACCCATTCTACCCCTTGCCACTCAGTGTATATGATCCATGAACCAGCAACACTAGTGTCACTTGTGAGAAACACAAACACTGAGGTCCCACTACAGACCTACAGAATCAAAAGCTGCATTAAGACCCCCAGGTGACACTTAGGCATATTAAAATTAAAGAAACACTGAAAGAGCAGCTTCCCTCACCACTGTTAGTATGCAGAAACATCCGTAGAACTTTACGGCTAAATGATGTTCTATGCCCTAAGATTCTGACTTGATTGGCTAGGGTGGGGTTTAGCCACTGGTACTTTCACCAAGATGCTCAGATGATTCTGACGGCATCCAGAGAAGACACCTGCTGCTTCAACTAACAGTTCTCAAGTTTGATGATTATTAAAGTGAGTTCTATTCATGGGATTTGGGTAAATGTGCTATCCCCTGGTCTCAGACCAAATGAGAAAACCTGATCAATCAAGAAAAGTTGTTCAAAAGGAGAGGGAGCTGGAGAATATGGTTGCTCTCAGCAAATTCTTACCCTCTTCTGAAAAAATGAATTCAAAACATATGTGCTATCTTTGATGCACCAGTGGCACTTTCCTAACAGAGACAGTAAGTGCTGTGTTCAGTTTTTACAGACTGAGGAATTAAATGAGATTTCGCATGTTTGTAATTGTCAAATGTCTAGCACATGTGAAGGTCTAAATAAACACTCTCTTGCTCTGAAGAAGAAGGTAGTGTATGAACTAGAATAAAAATGTTCCAATGGAGCTAACGGCACAGAAACCACATAGAGATGTGAAAAGTTTCAGCCTCTAATCTCTTACATACCAGGCTAGCCAGCATAGCTTCCTTCAATCCCCAGATGATGGCAGAGCCGATTAATCAATCGTCAGGGCTAGCTGTAGAGCTGACATTCTGTCAACATGCTGGGTAAAATGAAAAATGGATCCATGTATTCAATAACTTGGAAATTATGTATGTAATCTCACCAAAGAAGGGGAAAACCTTCCAGTTTAAATTCCACTTACAGCTCTTATCAAAACTGTAAAATGATGGGGGTCTACACTACTCTGTACCAAAACTGACATTGACATGTGTGCCGAATATTACATTTTTTTTTAACAAATTAACAAAATTTCATGAACTTTCTAATGAGACTATCTCAAACAATTGATAATATCTGCAGTCTTAAATGACAGCATATGGTATTGATTCATGCAATGTCTGACGCTTGTTAGCGGTGTTTAAAATAAACAGAATATTGAAACCTTGTCCTCTATAGATTATAGCACGTAGGCTTTTTCTGACTTCACAAAACTGAGAAGCTAACCCATGTGTCTATTTCTCATTAGCTCAAGGCAAAATTATGTGAGAGCAATTTACAAAGCATGGCACAAAGGCTTGTTTGGCTGCATTTATGGCATTTGATAGTCACAAAATCCTCAATTCTTCAAAATGTCTCAAGACAAATAAATGTTCAGATTAATGCAATCTGCTTAGATTGATTCAAATTTTAAGTGTCTGATGGACAGGAGAGAGCTCATTTGGCGTGAGGAAATAACAAGAGATTGTTTAAAAAAAAAAAAAAAAAGCCCAAGCCTAGGAATGTCTGTTTATGTGTTTAAACACAATTTTCCCTACTGTCACCGACAGTGATTTAAGGTTGCTTCTTCTTCTGGGTCATGACTGAGGAGCCAGCTTTTTCTTTTATTAACCAGTTCAGACATCACTAAGGTGTTGCCTATTTGCAAAGCTTGGAGGACAGAGTAAATGTTTATCAAATATTTATTCAGTGATTAGTCTAGCTCATTCCGACAGTTTTACCACATCCTCAGTTGGTAACCTGATCGGGTGGAGGTAATAGAAATCACCTTCTTAAAAGTCATTTTCAGAGGGCCAATGGCATTGGGAGAACTTGAGCTGGCCAGGAGCTGTTCTAATTCCTCAGCCTTAGCCCCAGACACAATAGTGTCGCCCACAAAAGTGACACACCGCACCACAGGTTTGAAGGAGAAAAAGACTGACTTTCAAATTCAGTTGCATCACCTGCTGAATTTGTATCAGAATTTTGGGAGGGTATCCCTACTCTAAAAAAACTAGCCCTTCAAAAAAAAATGTCTAGGGTTTAGAATTAGCTAGTGATGATAAGTTGAAAGTTTTATTCTATGTTTGTGAATTATAAGTTACCCCAAGCAGTAAACATAAGATAAATAATATTTAATTATTTATACACGTATACATACAGACACACACACACACACACACACACACACACAGTCTAGGCTAGGACAGGAAAAACAAGAACCTCAAGGAAAAGAATCCAAGTCTCTTGACATGCAATTTGAAGGATTAGACCCTAATAATACTCCAAGGAAGAAACTTGGACAATTAGGAAATAAAGCCACGTAATCACCCTTAAGAGAATCCTGTGAAAAACAGAGTTCAAGGGCAGATACATACACAAACACACACACACACACACACACACTTTAAATTCTACAAAACTTAGTACTTCTCTGAGCAAATTTTCAGAAGTTGTTTTACTTAATTTAGTTTTTTAGGAAGAAATGTTTTGTACATACTAGATAGTGAACAAGCACTTACTTAAGATTCCAATTTTACAGAAAAATAAACAGTGTGGTTAAGACACTTGTCTTACATAGGAAAGTGGGTGATATATGATATAAGATCTTTACATATAGCAGGGTAATTTTAGATCAGAGGAAAAATGAAAGTGGAAAATGCAAGTATATTTAAGGAAATTGTGTGAACACTAAGAAAAAAGGTGTATTCCCAAGCTTTTCTGATAGGATTCTTAACTAATGTTAAAAAGCCGTCATGAGCCACAATGATACACACTCATTTTCTGCTAACAGGAAAGTAAGAGAATAGCAACCAAGTGAGTTGTGTGTGGTTATGAGAAAATTCCTTTCTCTACTGTAGTTGAGTTGTTAAGGTTTATAACGATATTAACAGAGGAATGTTTTGTTAACTATTGCAAACAGATGTGCACATTTTGTTGGAATATTTTTAAACTATGGGAGAGCAATTAGGAGGGTAGCATTTAATCTGCTGGGCTCTTTGTGTAAGTTTTGGTTTGATAAATTTCTAATGAAGCGAAATAGGAAAGAGGTTTTATTAATGCTTAATGTAAAAATAAAAACTGCTTAAGAAGTGGTTTTAGGACTGATTGCTCTCACAATTTTGACTCAGAAGTATTGCAGCAGGCGGCGATTATTTTCCAGTATATTACTTTATCCAAACTTTGCAGAAATAGCCAGAAAATTGTTGTGGAATATTTTGTGACTAACATTTCATTTTTTCAACCATCAGATGATCTTTTTAAGTTTTTATGAAAACTGTGATATAAGTTTGGACGGGTATATGCAGGATTCCTATGTCTCTGGACTATTTTGTCCTTTTCTGTCCAAAAATATATTTGAACCTGCTGAAAAGCAAAACATGATCATGCTGGACACCTATTTATAAATATTCTTCAAACAGGTCAATGAAAACTTGGGGTCAGCCCTTCCCACTTTGTTGAGTTACTCATCATAAAACAAATTATGGGGTAGGAAAACTTAAAAGTTTATGAGGTGGACCTGGTAAGAATGGAAATATTTTAAGCACACCAAAAGAAATACCCATAAATATTCCAAGTCACATTATTCCCAGAAGTTCTACCCCTGGAAGACATCACATCATTCTGTTAGCCAATCACCAACCGGCAACATTATTCTTGGAGTCATAAGTTTAGGAATGGTGTCAGAACCCAAGTGGGAATCAGAGTATTTAAGGTCAGCGGTTAGAAAATCATCTATCCTGCTCATAGCACTACTAAGCGCCAGTACCCACATTTCTCTGAATGCTTTCCTACATTTTGAGTTTGGGATTTTGAGACCAGGAAAATCAACTCAATTGAATGCAGATCTTGAACTTTACTCAGAAGAATATGGCTATTAAATTAAAGTCCTAATTGTCAATATTGAGAATCGAGTTGACTGCCCTTCCTTGTTAGATAATAACTTGGAAATCTGGGGTTTAGTTTTTGGCCACCAAGGGGGAAAAAAAGCACAAAAATGTTTTGAATTATAATGTTTCATGAAAAAGACCAACAAAAATACCAGTGTAGTGCTGCTCCCAAAATAACCAGGTAAATATTTTGCAATATTTAAAAATTCCATCTAGAACAATGTGGAAAAAATTCGTACAGAAAATGGAAATTTACAGGAAAGGTATATATATTTATGGGTTAATTTATTCTTCTGCCTAGTTAAGATAACAGAAAAAAATCAAAGTAATGTGAGGATATTGTTTTTTTTTTCCAACGAAAGTGGATTAAAGCTGATGCTGAATAGCTTCATCTTTTTAATAAAATTAGAATATTAAAATAGTCTAAGATAAAAATTAGCAGTTACAGGCAAATATTGCTACCTAATTTAAATACACACAAGATTAAATAAAACTAAAAAGCTGTCTGATGTTACTTATAAAAATACATTTTAAAATGCTTTATGACTTTTCCTAAGTTTGCAGATGACTTTATTTAAGAGATTTAATCCAATGAGCTTTTAAGTTTTGGTTCTGTGGTTAAAATTTTTTAATCTCTACCAAACTTCTTAAACAATGGCTAAAGAAGATATAAGATCTATATTGATAATAAAAATTCATTTAATTATTTTCTTGTTTTTAAATGTATCAATTTTAATATTTTTCTAGTTTATAGTTTTAAAGAACATATATTAGTTAAATTTCACCTCTTATATTAATATATTAAAAATAATAAAAGTTCATTTATTGGATAACGTGTAGTTGAGGCAACATATCATTCATTCTTTTTTTATACGTAAAATTTTAAGGGAAAGACACACATACATAACTGTTGTGTTATTTTTGTGATATAAAATAAACTTTTGACATTTATAAACAAAAATATGAAAAGCTTACACAGCTATTTATTGATTTTCCTATTTGTTATTTTGTTATTTAGAATCGAACATTCAAACTGAATTAAAAATTCAACTTTGAAGCATTACAGTGATATATTTACTGAGTTTTCTGTTTTTTTATTTTTAAACTAGGGCAGTTAAGTAAAGAAAACTGGCTGGAACTTGCAATTATTCTGAATGAGTTCCATTTATTCACTTTCCACAAATGTAAAATAAATGCAACATACACTTTAAATATCCCTAAGAGATATGGCAACTTGTTTTAATTTTACTTCAGGAGAATGCGGCAGATTTCAATTACCATCTTGGGACCTCTATAGGCTATTGGATATTAACAATAATATATAATATGTGCTGATATTCCTGTCCTGAAAGTTTATTACACCATAGGAAATATATATTCATAAAAAAGTTTCTACTCTTTTATGAAAGTCCCCATAAATTGCCAAATAATTCAATTATGTTGCCACTATTCATTGATATAAATAAATAAAACTTAAAATGAGCTCTAAATATACTCTATTTTAAGAAACCAATATAAAAAATTAGAATTCATTAAGGAGGTTAGTTAGATTATAGTTCCTCAAATGTCTCCATTCAATCTTTAATATATTTATATTTTAAGATATCCATTTATTTAGTATATACACAGCTTTTTATACCTATGAGTTTTTAATATTAACATATTGCTTTATAATAAAATGATCACTTCCCTTTAAAAAAAAACCATTGCTTTACAAAATATTAGTTAAAGATTGTGTATTCTCTAAGAATATTTGCTAGAGAAAGTAAAGACAAAACTGACAGGATCCATTGTCCATTAGAAAGTAGATTTTAAACAATATAGTTGAAATCCAAATTTAGATAAATAAAATTTAATTATTAAGTCTCATTAGAAACTCAACTACTGTAGATCGAATTATGGTTTTGCCACTAACTAGCTAATAGAGAAGAGCCAAGAAATTCAACAGGCACTTGTATAACTACTGTTTTATAATTAATATTTTAGATATATAAGATACACAACCATACACATTTTATAACACAAAGCAACCGACACCAGACGCAGAATCTAAACTAAACCAATGTGCTTTGCATATACTCTTTAAGAAATAGATATACATTCATGTACGGTGGGATTTCAACAATTTCTTGGAAAATAGAAATAAAAGGTATTTATTTAAGTGCAAAAAATTGAAGTCCATGTGTAGTATGCATGGATTTCAACTTTTTGATATAAGATAAACATCTTTTAATTCAGTACCCTTCCGTGTGTGTGTGTGTGTGTGTGTGAGAGAGAGAGAGAGAGAGAGAGAGAGAGAGAGAAGGGGGGGCAGAGGGAGGAGATAGAGTGTGTGTTAGGCTGCCAGTGCTTGACTTTTAAACGATCTTGATAGGTTCATGCAGAACTGTAATCCTACTGATACTTGATTCCATTTTCTAATACATACCTGCCTCCCAGCTTCATTGTTATGTAGATTCATTGCTAGCAGTACTTTGCTGTCCTTCCCTGTGGTGTTTCTGATGGGAAAGTCTAGGAACTTCCTGCTGAACCACATGCCATACTGGACATCATCGGAGCAGCCCCCCCAGTGCCAGCCTTCGCTTGCCGACCCACCGTTCTGCAAGGTGGTGTCACAGGAGCATTCTGTCATGTTGCCTGCACTACAGGACCTGGTCACAGCATGCACCAGGCCTGCAGCCATTACAGCATAAATAAATGCTGTCTCCTTGGTGCCTAGAATAAAACATAGGTTGCTAAATTAGAGAGCTATGTCACTCTCCATTTATGATCAAAACAAAGCTTCCTATTCATCCTCTTACCAGGCAAGCAATTTTTCTGTTTCTTACAGTAGATGCTTTAATGAGCACATATTTAGAAAGAAAGCTTTCCTATTGCTCCAATCTTTTAAAAACCAGCATTAGTTTTCAGTAATCCACTTGAAGAGATTGTCATACATTGCATGTTATACATTGTCTTCGTGCCTTAAAATTATCTGTGTATTTTTAAAGTGTGAAATGTCAGCACCTAAGGCAGCACTTAATAGGCAGGACTAGCTGGATAAAACCTATTGATTTTAAAATCTTTTGCATGGGTAAATAATGAACGTAGTACAACATCCAAATGAAACAGGAATGTCATTCTTTTTAAATTTAAAATGTACCTTCCCATAACAGTTGAAAATTTTGTGATTTTTTGCATGCATAAATAATACAAGTCAGAAGGCAAATTAAAATTAAACAATGACCAAAGCAATTAGTAGATAAATGTTACAGTTTACTTTCACATTAACGGCTAGATTTTTTTTAGGATACCGTGAATAACAATCACTGGTATTATATGAGACAGTTAAACACTTTATACAGTACTAGCTAATCCTCTCACAACTTTAAAGGCCATGAAAGGTAAGATAATGGAAATATCATTAGGAAAAAAAGAAGTGTCTGTTATTGAAAAAGGTGAATTTATCACACTTGCAGTAGAATTTGCGCTAAAATCTTTGAAAAGTAAAGTTCCACCAAAACATTAACAACATGGACTAGAAGGGACTCAGCAGGCGAGTTTTTTTTCTTTCCAGATGTTTAGATTGGAGTAGCAACAGTTTCACACCCGTTGTCCAATAAACCTTTCAACAGCGGATGTCTCAGCAACTGTGAAGAGCGCATCTTCTTTTTTCCCTCCTGTATTTGTCTTTTTCGCCCTGGGGCCAGGGTTCCTGGAGGAGCCCGCGCGGCCAGTCCCAGGGTCCGCGATGCTAGGGCGGCAGCACGGGGTAGGGACTGCACCCGGCAGGGTCAGAGCCAGGGAAGAGTGGCTCTGCAGCGTGAGTGCCACGCCTGTTCGATTCTCTGAGCCTGCTGATGTGCCTGGAGCAACTCTGGTCCCTGTACCTTTGTCCTGACCAGGCCACCACGCACGTGGAGGTAGCACTTGGTTTGACTTCAGTTCGCGCGCCGCGGCGTGCCCCTGTGGGGACTAGGGGGGAAGGGGCGGGAAACAGCGCCGGGGCTTCAGGAGCCGCGCTCGCCTTAGCCGCATGTTAGGTTCTCTGGGACAGCGCCTTTCAAGCCTCCCGCGTTCCGCGAACCCGGTGCTCAGAGCAGCCAACACACCCGGGGCTCGGCTGCGGGGAGTCCCTGGTCCAGGGCTCCGCGAGCAGCGGAGCCGGCTAAATCAAAGCAGATGCCGTTGCAGCATTCCCCGCGGCCCGTTTTATGTTTCTCCAGCTGGTCACCTACATAGGGGGGCGCTACGGGGTCCGAGGCGGGTCGCTGGGCCAGCAAAGTCGGAGTTTTTCTCCAACTGGGACAAGGCGCCGCAGGAAAGAGGAAGAACCACAGCCTCCCGTGCGCCCGGTTCTGGACCTGCGGAGTCCCCACCCGGCCTTCAGGCCGCACCTGCACCCCTGATTTAGCCAACGTCCCTCCTGATTCCTGGGCGCCGAGAGGCCTCTTTGGGGATTTCAGCGCGGGGCCACACCAGCGCTAACTCTTTGGAGGACTTGGCGGAGAAGTGCTAGCCTTCCCACCCTGCCAACCCCGAGGGTCCCAGGAACTCACCGCTGCTCAGCTCGTAGCCGAAGAGGGGCCCAGTGCCGAGCGGCGCGGCGGCGGCCGGGGCGGCGACCCTGCAGTTCCAGCGCTCGTGCCGGAACTGACTCCTGCACTCCTGGATGCCCAGGCGCGCGCCCTCGCGGATGCTCGGCAGCAGGTACGGTTTCCTCTTGCACAGCTCCTTCTGGCGGCCGCTCAGCGGCAAGTTGGCGCAGCCCAGCTTCTCCGGGACGCCAAAGGAGGCGATGCCCAACCACCTGTGAGACACGGCCGCCCCCAGCGTTAAGCCGCTCCCTGCTCTTCTCCCCAGTACCAGATGCTGACTCGAAAATCAAAGTCACCGCCCTAAGGGTCCCCGCCGCGCCTCTCCCCGGCCTCAGCTGAAATCTGTCTGAGGCTGGGCACCCTTTATACCGCGTCCACCCCGTGTACCCCTGGCTTCCCGATACTCACATCCAGTTTCCTTGGGCTCCGCAGGGAAACAGCGCGAGCAGGGCTGCCCACAGCGCGCACAGGCGTGGCAGTCCCAGGAGCGCCGCTCGGTCCATGGCCCCCGCATGGAGTCCCCCAGCCCCAGCCACTCCTGCGCTACCTCCCTAGAGGCTCGGCGGACCCGGCTGCAGGTCAGTCCCCGAGCACCAAGTTGTCCCTCGCCCTGGTTCTCCTTGCATGCAACATAAAAAGTAGGTCAATCTGAGAGGGGCTCCCAGAAGCTCCCCCTGGTTGGCAGGGAGCAGTAGAGGAGTGGGGGAGGACAGCCTGGGCCCTCCTGCTGCGCGGAGCCGGGGTGTGCGGGAGATGCGCCAGCGAGCCTAGCACTCCAAGGTGGGAAACTTCTGTTGATGTATCGCGGTCTCCATCGCCCCCGGCCTCTCCTCCCATCTCCTCCCCCTGGCCGCGCCCGGCGTCTGATTGGCCCAGCAGAGGTCCTGCATCTTATCGTGCCGGGACCTCAGGTTCCCATTGGCTGAGAACGAGCTCCTCGCAGGGCGTCGCGGGCCCGCGCCTCCCCAACAGTGGGTCCCTAGCTGGGGTGTGTCCTGACCTTTCCTCCCGTTACTGTCTGCAGACAGCGGGTAGCTGTGGGGCTTATTCAACGCCCAGCCTGAGAGGCAGGCTTCTGTTGTCGCATCCTGGGGGAAAGCGTGGTTTTGATGGAAGTTTGAGTCCCAGCCTCCCCAGACGCATCTGGGTGGAATGGCTACACAATGTCATGCTGCTCTTCCCTTCTGTCCTTGACCTCCCAGGAGAGTCGTGGTTTTGAGGGACATTTGGTCCCAGACAAATTGACCTTCCAATCCCCTGCTTGAAGTTTTAGTGTACGGAGACATTAAAAGATGGGTGAGGTGCTGTCAGGATTACGTTCCTTGTCATTTCTGAATACGTGTATTTTTAGTCTTACATTGAATCTACTGTATTTTAATTGTCTGTGATTTCCTTTTCCCCGCTTGTCGGATTTCCTACAGTCCTCAGGAGCACGGTGAGTCCTAAGCAAAAGATGGAGGGCAGATCAAGCGAGAGCTCTCTGCCAGTACTAGAAAGCCTTGTGGTGATTTAATTTCCCTTTTGTCCCACATTATAACTTTTGTGAATACCTTGGACAGGTCTTCACCATGAAGAAAGCTTTTTAAAAAGTGTTTTCAGCACCTCTTCTTTCCCCAATCCTGTGGAACTTGACCCTTCAAAAGCAGGAGTTGTTTCGGTGGCTGGTTGGTCAAGAAGGCTAGTTAACCAGTGTTTTGTATTATAGACAGTCTCCGGGAGAATTCGGGAGGCCCCTCTCCTCAGAGCATGCCTAGCTGTGTTTTCAGAAAATTCCATGTCTCTGTTTCCTGGTTAGGCACAAGACATGTTTGTGAGACCCATTACCCGCACCCCAAAGAACTTCTGGAAAGTTAATATATTCTTAAGGTAGGCATATCAGTTCAGCAGGTGCTCCCAAGGAGACAGACTGAAATAAAGGTTTTGATGATATTTGTTGCCCATTTCCTTGTCAGCCTAAAGCAATAAAAACTCACCGAAATTCTCATCCTGCCCATTCACTTCTTTATCCAACAAATATTTATTGAGTGTACACAATGTACCAGGTCCCAAAACCACATTATAATTTTTTGAGTCAAGCTGATGATAGGGTATAGTTACTCATCCAGAAATGTTTTTGGCTAACGGCTAGTGGCCTCTCTGAAAATCAGCGCCTTCATCCAAGGTTTGGTCTGTAAACTTCTCCAAGAAGGACCATGACATATCCATTACTGTATTCCTGCCACTGGGCCCAGCACATAAGATCCTGATTTTGAACACAATCGTCAGAGTGGAATAAGATTATGAAGAACATCCTGGGAAGACACCTGGTGGCCTAAATGCTGGTACTGAAGTTACTTCCTTTTTAAGGGGAATTGGTGTTGGAGGGATGGGGAGGGGGTGACAATCTTGGAATTAAGGAGAGAGTTGGAGAACATCAATATTTGAGGTTGATTTTAAAGCCAACAGTGCTAGTTGTTTTACTGTTTTTGTTTTCATTCAAAAATGTATATTTAACCCTCTGTTACATATCAGTGTAGGGATAGCACTGAGTCAAATGGTTGTGGAATCCACAGTCTACTTGGCATGATAGACACGTGACTTGGCAATTCCAGTGCACTGTAGTAAGTGTATAAAGTAGAATGTGCCATGAAAACATACACACACACACACACACACACACACACTCAGGAGTTACTTGATGCACACTTGAGGGCTGGGGGGAGGGGTCACTGCATGGTACTTGCATGATTTCTCCAGGGACCTATCACTGTTCAGGCATTCAGAACAAACCTGTGGAGGAGCACTCAGAGTATGGCATTCTTGGAGTTTAAGAATACCAGGTCAAATGTTTTCAAATCCAAGACAGGATTTCAGTGCCCGAGTGGTCTTGTGCCTCATTTGTGCAGTCTAGGACCTTAGAGGTCCTTCTGTCCATACTTCTAAAGTAAAGGAAATGTATTCCCAAGAGTTGACCCAGCTGAAAAAGTGTGATTTTCTTTCAACTAACAGAGTTGATTGCCAATTTTATGCTAGGCATTGTGATCTTTCGTGTACTGAGAGTCTGCTGTATGCACTTAACATCCTCTCTCTCTCTCTCGCTCTCACTCTCTCTCCCCCGCCCCGTGTGTGTGTGTGTGTGTGTGTGTGTGTGTAGTGCCACTCCCTCCCTCTCTCCTTCTACATGCACAAAACTTCAGCACCCCAACAATTGATACTGATTTTATAGTTGAGGAAATTCATCTTGGGTGATTAACAAATTTGCTCAAACCTCACTCAGCCGGCAAGGAGTAGAGTCGGAAATCAGCCTTGTTTTAAAACCCTCTTCTTTCCACCACCACTTCCTGTTGCATAACGTAGTTCAGAACCATTATTTAATTTTTCCTGACCAAACACCAGATCGCTGCATCTTAGGGTCTACATGTCTCACTTCTGTGCTATGGTTCCTTACATCACAGTTCCCAGTAAGGCCAATGTAAAAGCTGCTCTGTTCTCGGAAGATAAAAGCTACACTAGGTAGGTCTCCTGAGGAGGACCCTGTGAAGCAGGTCTCCCTGGGGCAAGGGGCAGTGGGCAGGGATGCATTTCTATGTGTCCTTTATTTGCTGTCTTCAGTTTTGTGGGCTGGGAAGAGCAGCAGGCGGAACAGTGATGCAGCTGAGCAACTGGGGCTCTAGTCAATGGTTGAAATGAGCAGCAACTCATTTCAACCTGGAGCCCGTGTTTTCTCATCTACAGAGTTATGGAAAGCTCTCTTTTAGGTTTGAATCACTTGCTGGATGTTTCCTAGGAGTGGGTGGTGTGTGTGTATGTGTGTGTGTGTGTGTGTGAGAGAGAGAGAGAGAGAGAGAGCAAGCGAGGTAGGGGAGAACTGAATTTTCTAGCAGATTGCAGGAGAAGGCATCCTTAACCAATGTGCTTGTCTACTGAGAGATGGGTCCATCTGTCCTCAAGGAGGTCACACACTGGGGTTTTTGGTCATAATCTATCTTTTGCTCCAAATTCACCTCTGGATTTCAATGAGCATGAATCATTTCCATTGTGGGAATCTTTTATTTTCAAAGTTTTATTTATTTGAAAAGCAGAGATACAGAGATAGAGGGAGAAACAGAGAGAGATACCTTCCACCTGCTGGTTTACTCCCCAGATGCTGGCCACAGCCAAGACTGGTCAAAGCCAAGAGCCAGGAACTGCATCCCAGTCTCCTACTTAATTGGGTCATCATCTGCTGCCTCCCAGGTGCATTAGGAGGAAGCTGGATCAGAAGCAGAGGTGGGACTGGATCCCAGGCACTTTGATATAGATTACAAGTAGGAGCATAATCCTCTGTACCACAATATGCACCCCGTGGAAATCTTTAAAATAGTTACATTTTAAGATATGCAATAATTTTATCAGCACATGAAATTTTATTTGGAGAATAAAAGTAGAAGTCACAGGTATTTTATTTATTCTGGACTAAAAAAAGTGAGTGTTTTCACAAACTATTTTGTAACTATTAATATAGTGTAGCTCAGCTCCGCTATCATTAGTGGGCATTAAGCACTCTATTTAGACTTGAGGCCTGGAGCAAAAAACGGATCAAATTGAAACACACACACAACCACATATTTCAAATTATTTATTTCTTTAGCAACAAGCAGGCACATCATTTTCTTTTTATGATTTTTTGGTTTTATATTTTGGAGGAGAGGACAAAATATTAACTAACCAATAGAATATGTCTAGTGCTTACTGTTCTGTGCAAGGTTTCTGAGCTTCTGGTAACCATATTTACAAAATGTTGTAAAGATCAAAGAACTATTTGTTCAGTAAATTGGAGATAGTATTATGATCTGAGCCCAGTTGCCTAAAATTTGATTAGTGGTGTTAAGAATAACCCCTTGTGGGGCCAGCATTTTGGTATAGCAGATAGAGCTACCACCTGTGATGTCAGCATCCTATTGGGCTCTGGTTCATGTCCCAGCTGCTCCATTTCCAGCCACTTCCCTGATAATGGGTTGGGAAAGCAAAGGAAGATGGCTCAAGTGTTTGGACCCCTGCAACCCATGTAGGAGACCCAGAAGAAACTCCTGGTTTCCTCCTGGTCCAGCTCTGGCTATCGCAGTTATCTGCAGAGTGAACCAGCAGATGAAAGATCTCTCTGTCTCTGTCTCTGCCTCTCCTTCTCTCTCCTCTGTAACTCTGACTTTCAAATAAATAGATCTTTAAAAAATAGAAAAAAAAAGGATAGCACCTTGTGACTCCAAGTTTGCCTTGATTACTGAAACATCTGTAGTTACTTGATCCCACAAGGAGGGTGTGCACTTGAATTTGTTTTCCTAGCAGGGAGTGAGATGTTTTGAGCTCTATTCTGGGAAGGGGACTTAGGAAGGGAAGAACCAGATTTCCAGCAGATTCATTAAACTCAAAACAGCTCTCTGGAGGGGATGAATCTGTGACTATGGTCATTTCTGACCAGCTGAGCCAACTGGACCAGATAAATTGGCTGGCAAAAAAAAAAAAAAAAAAATCCCAGCTCCACCTAAGATTGTTGTAGTTTGACCATTGTAGAACCCAGGGGAGCCTGTTCCCTTTGGTAGTTTTCTCTCAGTCCCTGGGAAACTCAGCAAAAGTCTGCCTGCACAGATATGCCTTGGACTCTGCCTCTGGCAGCCCATCAGAGGACGAGACTTCTAAGGGCCCTGTTGTAAGAATTTCTGCTGCAGATCACAGAGACTTATGTACTGGAAACTGATACCAGAAGCACCCCAGCTGGTCTTAACTCCTATGATGGAACAGAAGAGCAGAGGTGACTTTTTGCATAACTGGGTCCCCATCCATTCTATTTTAAATTCCACCTGGATGCTACAAGTGTGGAACAGGGCACAGGC